TTAGGGGACAACCCGCTCTGCCTCTGCGCCACAGATACCCTGATGGAACTGAGCCTTATGGAGAAATGAGCCTTATCTCATTTGATTTATTAGCTCAGTAAACAGTTTCCTAATGAGTTTATGGTCTCAATCTTTACTTTCAAATCTTCTTGAATTGCTAGTGAGTCCATCCAGTCCACTAAACTCAGATCAAACAGTCTCACTAGGCAGTACTGATCAAATGTGAATCAAGATTCTGTCACTACATTGCTTATTTCTCTCCTCAACTTTCTTCAAAACACATTTTAGAATACTCTTCTCTGTAATATAACTGGTGTGACCAGGCAAGGCCAGGTTAAAATTATTTTTAACGAAGCTGGTTTGCAAAACTGAACATAACAGGGTCACATTTGACTCTTCATACGAATTTCCCTAGTCCTCCAAATGACTAAGATCGCTAAGGAGTGCTGGGATCTTCAGAATTACCACAGAACTGAAAATCCACCTGAGCAGAAAGTGAGTCAAAGAGGTGTTTTAAGTCTGGTTTGTGATGAAAGTGCAACAATACTGAGAGTGAAGGTGGAGTGAAGGCTACAACATGGAGTCCTGGTGGGGGTGGTGACCAAGAAAGACAAAGTCTGGAACCTCTGCAACCCCTCAGGACATCAGAAAAGGGTGGTCCAGAGCAATGTGATGGCATCCATTGATGGGGGCAGAACCAACACGTGCTAAAGAAATACGACAACTGGACCTAATGGGGGCAAGAAGGTGGAATCAGGCAGGCAAAACCACACCGAATCACATTTCTGGTGCTGGCAATATTTAATTTCTTATCTATCCTTTACTTGTTTTTTACTGTGTAGGCTTTATGGATAATCCGTAATGACTCCTTAATCAGAAATGGGATCCATGACCACTGTAGAGCCCACCTTGAAACCCAACATACTTGTGGAGGTTATTTGCTGAGACTTCATAGGGCTGAGCCTACACTGCTCTCAGCATCATATCCTTAGAATAAGCTGTAAAGTAATAGCCTTAGCTAGGTTGCCATGGAAGAAAGTGCTTGAAATACCCAACATCAATGATAATATGCCTAGGCAAAAGTGATGGGATAGGTGCCCGGTGCCCTGTCACTATCTAATAAAGCCACTAAAAAAGTGACTGTATGGCTGGCAGCATGGGCGGCTGCTAAAGAGCTAAGTGTATATGCTATTAGCATCAGTTATATCAGAACTGGAGGGTGTTTTCTTTCTACTGACAGCGATAGACAGACAAATTGTTCGCCCAATTACCTGCCAAGTAGTTTTCCAATGACTTCTGCGTAACCAGATATTGTGTGTAAAGAGAACAACTAGTAAACTAAAGAACTCTGGATGTAATGCTAAATAAAAAAATAGTCAACTGAAGTATCTTGGATGGAGTTTTGTAATTTTATTCTGCCTTCTTGGTTTTGCAGTCTAATATGATTTTTATACTAATACCTTTTCCATTGCATTTCCATTTGTTTTTTCTTTTGTGACTACACTAAAGCATGTTGTATTCGGACATTATGTGATTTGTCTTACATTTGTCTAAGATGTTAAGCACAGTTTACTTAATGTGCAGTTTGTGCATTTTGTTCAATGTATTTGTAGATAATTGTTGTGTCTAATAGTAATAGTGCATGTGGTATTTTACTAGGTTTCAGTGAGAATATTTAGTGGAGGTTTTTCTAGATGTTGGCCTCAGTTTGTAGTAGAAAATGAACACCTTTAATAAACTGTAAATGCATAGTCATTAGTTTAATTGCCCCCTACATCTGACTCAGACATACAGCTTCCTTAGGTTGTAGTGTGTATTTTTATGTGTTTGTGCTCCGGTCATTGTGGGGTCATCTCTGTCTGATGCTAGCTCTCTCACTAATTATCTGCTCTCCTGTCTTCACCCGAGGCCAGACTCAGGCCATTACATCTTCCGTTAGTCTTTGTCACGACCCAAATAAATCCTCTCAAGCTCTTTTTTTTGTCTCCCCCCAACAACATACCAACTGGGATGACAAATAAGGCCTTATCAATGAAAAACTCCATCAGATACTGTGGTAATGTGTGGGAAGTGTGTCAATAGTTTTCAATTTCAGCTGTCAACATTGCAAAACTAGTTGGGAGGTTTATTTGTTAAAGGGTTTTACTGGTTTGGAATTATTAATTTGCCACAAATTGCCATTTCCAGATTAAAACCATTAAAAAGACATACTCCTTCTATGTCATCAACATTTTCAGAATCTGCAAGATGTCTCCTACTACACTTTAAAGTGGTAAATGGACCTGTACTTGTATAGCGCCTTTCTAGTCTTCCGACCACTCAAAGCGCTTTGCCACCCTTTCACACACATTCACACAGTGATGGCAAAGTCCATCGAGCAGAAACTAACCTTCATACACAATCACACACCGATGCATGGCATCAGGAGCAATTTGGGGTTCAGTATCTTGCTCAAAGATACTTCAACATGTGGCACCACAACCTTCCGATTAAGGAACAACCCGCTCTCTGCCTCTGAGCCACAGCTGCCTGTCCATTCTTAGTGTATGTGCACTAGTGGCTTCAAGTTTCTACATCACACTTGATGATGCATACTGGACCAGAAGTGACTTCCAGGCTATTTATGATGCCAGAAATTGGCAGGCCCCGCTCCTTAAAATCTGATTTTCAGTTAGCACAGAGAAACTTTCCACTTTCAGCAGACAGATGTTCAAACATCCTTCTAGTGTCAAACTCTGCACATACCATATCATTCTGTACAACGAAGCTCAAATATCACACTGTAGCAACAAGTAAGGAGGTATTGAGGTGGGATGAAACTACACTATTGGGGTATTGCAGCAGCTATACATTTTAGGCAGTGCTGTATATTCATTATGTCCCTAAAGTTCAAAATGTAAATACCCTGCATTACTGAAAACAAGAAAAAGCATTAGCATTCCTGTATGGTTTTCACAACAGCAAATGCTGCCAGCACCAGAAACCACAAGTTTGACCAATCACAGTTCTCCATGTGACATTTTACATTTTTGAGGAGGTGCATCAGCCGCAGTGGGATGCCCAATATGCCACAGCAAAGGCACCACAAGAGTTTGCTACAGAAACGTGATTAGGACTTGGCAGGGAGGAAGGATCTGACATGAATCTGAGCCTATCGTCTACAGCAGGTGCAGTTGGAAACATCACCGTAAAACAAAACCATAGGCATTAATATTGACTGGAGAAATAGAGACCAAGCAAAGTGATATTAGAGTGAGGACAGGTTCACCCAATAGTATCACATATTTCAGATATTTGGACAGAAGCCAATAGTCTCAAATCACTTTAAATTTCAGTTTGATTATCACCTGTCTGCGTTAATCAGCCTTTGAACATCGGCCTCATGGTGATTATTCAAGTGGCATATGAGAATTTTTGGCTCCATTTCCTCGTTGGTGTCACAAATCACTGGAGTGTGTCACCACAGGGAGCAAACACTGCAATAAATCCACCCGCTGCCCAAAGTTATATGTAGTGCTCACACAAATGAAACAACTGATGCTGATTACAAAATAAGAGCTGAATGTCATTCAATGTTGAATTTATGATAAACCATCTTGGATCTGTGTGTTGCAAATAGTTAAATTCTTCAACTCTCCCATGGTCTAGCCACATAATGTCATATTGTCCTCCTTTCAATATGATGTGAATGTGGCGAGACCATGGGAGAGTTGCAATTACAGAGATTGAGCTCAGCTATACATTGCAGATGAAAGACACTTCTGTATGGAAATCATGAGGAGGAGCCAAAGAAAAAAAATATAAACAGAATTAATTGTAAAAGAAAATATGTAAAATATGTTTATATAAATTCCATTAAATGTGATTCAGACTATGATCCATTTTGCATCCTTGTACAAAAGAGGTTAAGTTTTTGTTTATTAATTTTCTACTTTGAAATATGGGATCCCTATTCGCACGCTGAACAAAGATTTTTTTCTTAATCCATGACTATATTTAGTATGTTAAGAAAAAGCCCCACAGATTTGTATCTGTTGGCAGTGGAAACACAATATTTGCTGTGGAATCTGCCAGATATTTGGCTACACATGACAAAATCAAAATGTTTAATTTCACATATTTATCATGCCTTAATTGGTAGACAAAGTACATTTTCTTTTAAAACTCCAGAGGTGTTTTTCTGGAAAATGTTAAAAGCTACTTTTAGTGACTAAAAAAGGATGTTAAGAAAATCTTGTGCTCTAGCATCATATTTGGCATTGAAAATTTGCTCAACTAGTACTTTAAGTGCTGTAAAGGAAATTATGAAACTCTACTATTGACTTAAGTGGGTTAAGTACAAAAGCTCACTGAAGCTACTGTGTTACCTCTGAATCATGCTCAGCCTTAATGGATTCAGGGATGGATTTAAAGGGGTGGTGGCAGCCCTAAAAAGGCCTGGCCACCCCAGCTGCCCCCCCCAGTTTGGTGTTAAATGCTGTCAAACACAACATTAATTTAATGATTAAATGATAGGCTTACGTTCAGTGGATAAACACCCTGTGGTATAAATAGTTACATGTAAGACTACTCTTGCATATTTAACTCACCCAAAAGATGTGCCAGTAATATTTGCTGCTTGACTTCAGGATCATTATGAAATTACATTAGACAGAAGATGTTCAGATTTTGCAATCAATACTGGCCCACAGACTACAGTGTCAACTACAGGATTGTGCATTCTGAGTATTCTGTATTCCTTACTCCATACACACAACTATGTCATGCCTTTGCCATCCTAGCAAAAACAACCGTGTATACCCTGCACCCGTCACTGTTTCAATGAAAAAAGACATGTAGTCCAAATATCTTCATTTTGGGACTTTTGCAACAAATATTGATACATGTGATTATGTCTGATTATGTCGGCATATATGCCTGCCACCCTATGGACACTCCATGATTATTTCTCTAGGTCTGAATGGATTTGCGCAGAGAACCCACTGAATGTAAGAAGTCAGTTTGTATCAGTTACCACGTAACCAGATGGTGGTTTATTCAGTTCATGCCACTGTTTACATCCCACATTAAGCATTATTTAGACTCCCACCACAATTTTACGCCACAACACCGAAATTTCGTCACCACCGTGACGTCATTACATTTACAACCGAAAATTGCGAGAGAAGAGAAAGAGAGAGAGAGAAATAGAGATAGAGATAGAGATAGATAGAGAGAGAGAGAGAGAGAGAGAGAGAGAGAGAGAGAACTTCACATATACATTGTCGCTTTAAAGATACTCAGTAAAAATGTCCACTGTTTCGGTCCTTCTAACGGCCACATTGCACATAAATATATTCCGTTAAATAAAGCTGAGAGCATGTTGTGTGTGTGTGTTTTTAACCCCAACTCCTGTTTTCCCTCGGAAGGAAGAGAGACTCTTCACAATCTAACTGACTTTAGCTTCTGTTCTCAGTCGCAATGTACACACCTGGTAGAACATAACTTACAAGCTTTTATGGGCCGATCTTTAATTCGGCTTAGGTCACAGCCACCAAATAGCAACAGCCTGTTTGATTAGACTGCCAGCTTGTAGAGAGACGGAGAGGAGGAGAAGTGGTCAGTTGATTCACGAGGTCAAAGGTTATAGATAATGTAGTATTTGCTACTCTCCTACCTCGAACGCACATATATTTCAAGCTCATAAACATTTATTGTATTTTAAATTAACCAATAGCCAAAGTTCCAACTGACATAAAATATGATGACTTAAGGAAACAATAATACATTTTATTGAAGCCCTAAATAGGCTACTGCTTTTTCTGTTCAAATGTTTTTCAATTCAAATCTCCAAACTTTTCAAATGAACATGAAAAATGTATGGAAGTATAGAAGCCCATTTCCGCCAGTATAATAAAATATAAGATGAAAACTTCGCCTTGATAAAAATAATATCCCCATGGTAAGTCATAACTATGTTTATAATTTCGATCATAATTTTATTTAATAATTATGTTTTTATTTCGTAATTTTGACTTTAACTCATAATTATGACTTTCTATCTCATGATTATGACTTTTTAGCTCATAAAATTTATTATCTTCCTCGTTATTTTGACTAAACATGAACGGTTTCTATTATCAAGGCTTCATTTTCATCTCATTTTTTTTATTACTGGCGGGAATGGGCTTACATAAATGTCATATTTTCATTAGGTGTTGTTTTCTCGAGAAATTTGAGGAGGAGATCAGTGTTCAAGGTCTTACACAGAACAAAAGGCAGAAAGGTGGTGGAGTTCTCAATCTGAAGTTATGTTCTATCAGCAACTCCAACCAATAAGCAAACCAATAGTAAACTGTTACTTTCTTCCTGTCCACCGTCCTATGGGAAGGTCCACAGAGATGATTATGATTGCGGCTACAGTTCATCAGGGCTGTTCCGTCCCGCTCCCCGAGGACCGGAGAGGGACAGAGAGCAGGGGGCGCTACTGTTTGAGTTCCAGAGCCCAGACATGTTGAGGCCATCCTGTCCGCCCTTTACTCTTCTTATCACCCGCTGACGAGGAGGATGAGGATGATGAAGATGATGTTGTCTTTGGAATCTCCACCTGTACACACGTGATATTTATTGTTATATACATTGGTCACGTTGATAGATGGAAACCGCTGTACTTTTCTGTCTTTGTCATTTTACCATTAAAACCATTTTAATGAATACATTCTCCAAGTAATTTCATAAATGTTCAAAAAATAATCGTATGTTATCTTGTAAACAGCAGTTTTAACTAAAAGGAAAAACATTATTATCATTATTATTCGCAATAATAATATATTAGATTTTTATAAAGAAAATTCTTAGCCTGTTATGAATTGCGGTTTCCCACTGCCAGCAGGAATACATTCTCCAGGTAATTTCATAAATGTTCAAAAAATATTCTGATGTTATCTTGTAAAGAGCAGTATCAACTAAAAGGAAAAACATTATTATCATTATTATTCGCAATAATAATATATTAGATTTTTATAAAGAAAATTCTTAGCCTGTTATGAATTGCGGTTTCCCACTGCCAGCAGCTCTCTCTGAAGCGGTATTTAGCCTAATCAAACATATATTAATATAATTTAACAGCACCATGAAATAACTTTATATGTTATATAGATATAACAATAACTATATAACCTGCTATATATGGTGTAATAATATGTTGAAGGTCCAGTCCGTCTTTTCACGCTGAAAAAAAGCCTTGCTTTCTGCGAATATGTTGTGAACAATATACTATCCATCCAATCCAGCACAACCTAGGCTACATTTGAACGCGTCACACGTAAGGGTATCACCAACTCAATTCTATGTAAATAATAATGCTTTTATTCTTGATTTCTTCACTAGTTTTTTGTTTCCTGCTATTAAACCTACTTAAAATAATTTAAACAGGTTTTAATATTCTGCCATCAGTGATGGAGTCGCCATTATTTGTCGCCCTGCTCTGCTTTATATTAACAAGTTAAAGAAAGAAAAAGTAAAAGAGAGCTCAGCCATTCTAAGCGTTGGTGATCTTCCAGAAATGTGAGCATATAGGCCTAATAAAAAATCTGACGGTTTGCGTTCAACTGACACTTGGAATGCAGGGCGACACTTGTGTGTGTGTGTGTGTGTGTGTGTGTGTGTGTGTGTGTGTGTGTGTGTGTCTGTGTGTGTGTAGAAAAAGCATAATCGAGCTGTAAAAATAAAAATGGCAAATATGCTATTTTATTAATTTATTATTTTTGCGTTAATGCATCCAGAAGTTCCCATCACATGTGGGGGAGTAAAATGAGTTAAACAGCCGAGATTCACACAAGTCAATCCCACTTCTTTTCTTTGTGTAATGTTCTTCTATATTATTATAGTCCTCATCGGGCGCAACAGCGCGATCTGTTCTTTTGTCTCTACACTAGTATCCTAAACAGAAACAGAGCTTATAAATTTAGATAAGACAACAACAACACTAATAATAATAATAATAAAAATAATAATGAGAAGAAGAAGAAAATATTAAAATACTAATCGGACTTGTGAATAAAGAATTATGATTTTACATTATACTAGCAACACACACACACACACACACACACACACACACACACACACACACACACACACACAAACAATAGTTTATCTTATGTTGTTATTACAGACATGTCACCTTTATGAATTACAAGCAGGTTTACTGCACATTTACTCTGTGTCACTTACAGTTGCAAAATGGAATCAAACATGACAGAGAGCACAATGAAAATGCTTTCTGAAAAACCTCACACTGCAACTAAATAAAAAGATGTGCTGTGACTCAGTCAGTAACATGCAGGTTTGTCACCAAAGGCTAAATCATTCGATCAGAAATCTTACTGATAATCTAAAGAAAAACACACACACATATTTATAATAAAAAACATGGATTCAAAGGGTAGCCTGAAATAAGTGACTGACCAAAACAGATCTGTCTTGTCCCTGTCTACATGAACTCGATTTTGCACAAACTGGATCATTGGATTATTTCATTGTAGTACAGCAAACTAAACAACCACATTGAAGCAGCATGTTTTAGCCATGGCTGTAATCAGTGACAAAAACAGTGTGGCCGAAGAAAAACATCTAACAAATTGTAAAAAAATGTATATCTTAATTCTCCCTTGTACATACAATGTAATATAATGTCAGAGTCTCTCCTTATTTGCAAGCTTAGACATCCTTTCCTCTTTAAATTCCTACTCATTCATTAAGATAAGTGCAGGTTGAGGAGCATAAGCCATGTAACTTCAGCTGCACTGAGAATCAAACTCACTTAGTTACTCCATCGATTAAACAAATAAAGGATGCATATGATGCATTTTATGATAAACTGAAGTTCCTAAGTTGTATTTGAATTCAGGACTGGAGTGTCATGAGAGAGTTGACATGAGTTATGAACAGGACTACATCCTCCTATTAGTGATTGCAGCTTGAAAAGTGAGGAAAAAAATGCTTTCTGGATTCAATTATGCACGACACTTCCTATAGGCAGCACATTGAGCAACAGACAGGAAATAATTATTCTGTTCTGCTCTTTTCCACTATATTTTGATCTGTTATATATGTATTGTTTGTTTCTACACACAATTCCCTGCTGCGCTAAAGCTTGATGTTAGCTCTGAAAAAGATATAGCCATTTATCATACATATATAGATACATGTGTGTCCAAAAGGCTGGCAGAGCATGTATCAGTGACATGCTGATATGACGATGCTTGTCTCTGTATATAATAGTACACAAAAAGAGCATGTGCATATTTATGCCACTAAATGTGGATGTGCTCATGTGAAAGCAAAAGTCAAGTATAGACAGTTGAAATAGGAAACAATAAATCCTTAGCGATTGTGGGACCTTGTAAAGCCACATGGATATGGGCAGCATATGCTGGGAACAAAACTATGTGGATAATATAGCATGCTGTAAGGACCAAACCATCAAAAAGCAGGAATAATAGTGGTGGGTCTGCATGGCTAGACCTGGCCCCTCCTGGCTCCAAGATGTCTAAGGATGGCAACCAATCTTATGGCTCCACAGTTAGTCTTAATCATTTTGGACTAACGTTATATCATTGTTGTGTAAAATCTTTTGTTTATATGGTTCAGCTGTATGAGGAAATACGTAATGGCTGGTTAAGGAGTCAAGTGTCCATTATAAAAATGTGTAAACACACTTATATTTTACTGTTTACTCTCTCTTTAGCGGATGCCTGTGTGCTTCACTGGCTTTTTAAATTCATCCCCCAAATAAATCGGCTATATATTGGTGTGTATGTGTGTGTGATTCTCAGGGGAAGCCTGTATTGTTTTTCTCTCTCTTGTGTATGCTGGCTGTTTTTAACTCTGCTAGTTCCTCGATCACGTAAAAAGGATACAACACAGTAGATTATGAATAGTGGGCCTATAGGTAGTAATAGTATAGGCTAACAATTAATGTTTATTAATTAATAATTAATTTATTGTGTCTTTATACCTTATTATAGCTCCTTTTGTTTGTTTATTTTGTTTATGTATATGTATTTGTATGTGTTTATTTGCTTTGGCAACATTGACTGGCACACATTTAATAAAGCTACTTGAATTAAATTGAAATTGTATGCAATGGTACATGAAGCTGGTTTTGGAGGTCTAAATATAAAGGTCCTTGAGAGTCTCCATAGATGACAGACAAACCTACTTATATAATTGATTGATGAAAAAAGGCAGGGGAGAATCTAGAGGGGTAAAAAATGCCTGGCCACCCCAGTTTGGTGTCAAATGCTGTCAAATTGAACACATATTAATTCAGATTATTTAAAAAAATAACATGTTAAAAAATGGAAACTAATTTAATAATCTGTTATGGCCGAATTTTACATTCACACATAAATTCAGTGAAAACAGACACGTATTTGGGAAAATGTGTGAAGATTTGGAAATAAAACAATTCATTGATTTATAATGTGCCAGAATAATGTATTGTTTTTAAGTTCAAATATCTTCATTTGGGGGCTTTCCCAAGCAAATATTGATATATGTGATTGTTTAAAATTAAATGAGTATATATTTCTGCCACCCCTTAAAGTCTCCATGTCACCCTCTGAATAATTCTCTAGATCCGCCCGTGAACATAGGCTAATTATGTCAAGGTAAAAATCAACGGTTTGCTAATTTATATTTTAGCTCTACTATTAATCGCGTTGTGTTGCTGCTCTGGCACCATTTGTAAATTAGCCTAAGACCAATATTGAGAGCCAACTATATTCTAATAAATAAATGATGATGCAATGACAAATAAAACAAATTAAATGTTTTTTCTTGGTGTAGGAAATATTTACAACGCATCATCACAGAGAAATAATCAAAGCGAAGTTGAACACTCTTTTAGTAGCCGTCTCGTCCAGTCAACATGCGGCATAAAAAAGCAGCGTTATATTTTAACACCCGTGTCATTTCTTTTTTGAACAGTTTAGTATTTAACCATATAAAAGGGAAAAAAAGGAGAATTATAATTATGTTAGGATTATATGCCATGCAAAACTGATTTGTAATGACATTTTTTTTAAAGCTGAGTTGGCCAATATTTTAGAAATTACATAAGATTTTTTTGATACCAAATAGTATATTTCTTTTAGTAACCCTTTTGTTCTAATGCGACATGAACGGCACTTTTCAAGGTCGAATAGAAGCACTCCGTGCCTTCTTACTCTGTAAGACATGTTGTTTCTGATACAACGTTTCAGCTCCTGCTGCAGGCCTGCAGCTCTCCTGTCGGACGATGACTACGGCTAAACCTCATGAAGAGAAGGTGTTTACAACTGTGACCTTCAGCCGTTAATCTTCGTGAGATAAACTATTAAAATAAAGAAGGAATAGTTCGATTTAAAAATGGCAACACTGTACGAAGGCTACCTATTGATTTAGGTCAACAGCAAAAACTGACTAACTAACTAAGTAAAAGGTGACTGCAGTTGTCAGTTAGGAATAAGACTAATGAAGCTGGGCTCTACTTTATCTATGTTTATCTTTCCATCACATTAGGTCCTTAAAAGCTTGCTGACTAATCCACTGAACTCTCAACTGTTTCAGGCTGTTACTCTTCTTTTTTTCTATTACTGGTCTGTTAATGAGTCCATTGATCCACTGCTAACATATGCCGCATTGAATATTTGGAAAAAGACCTTTAATTAAGCTGTAGACCCAAAGTATTTTCAACTGTTGCCTAGGCCTAGGTCTTCTCTCCCCCTAAAACATAGAATTTGAACAAGAACCGTCGCCTTAAGGGAGTGTCAACAAGCGTTCCTTTTTAGTTTAACCCATAACAGGAAACACTCTGGGTCATGTCAGCTGTAGCTGATCACATCTGATATCTGATGAAGATATTTACTCTCATGTTATTTTAATTTCAGGTGGCTTTATTTGAGTTCAGCAGTAGGTAGCCTCGGTTCACTTACCGCCTCTCTCTTCCTCCGCTCCTCCCGAGCCTCCGTCTTTTTCAGCTCGGCCTTGAAGGCCTGCGTGTCTCCGTGCTGTCCGTCCTTGTCCAGGATGTCCATCAGGTAGGAGATGTAGCTGGTGGCCAGTCGCAGTGTCTTAATCTTGGACAGCTTGGTGTCGGCCGGGACGTTGGGGATACACTCCCGCAGCTCGGCAAAGGCTGAGTTGATGCTCTGGGTCCGCCGCCTCTCTTTACGGTTGGCCGTGGGTCTCCGCTTCACGGTCCGAGGGTGTGTGTGGTGATGGTGCATGCCGACCGTGGCTCCGTTCACCGAGATGGTGCCGGGCCCCGGAACCAACCCGCCGGGTCCGTAGTGATGATGATGGTGATGGTGGGGGTCCAGGCCGCCTGTAGAGCCGCCGCCACTGTTGCCATGGTACTCTGGGCTGTAGCCGGGCGCGAGACTATACTCGGTGGGAGACATATCCGCGTGGCTTATCAGCCAGCTCGTAAAGTACGGAGGAGCCCCAGTGTCCTCATGACACCGACCGGCCGCCGCCGCATGTAGGGAATAGTGGTGGCTGTCGTGGTGGTGCATGACCGGGTGGTGAGGGAAGCCCGAGACAAGACTCATAGTGACACACACAACACAGACGCACTCACGCGCACAAACACACGTACACACGCTCTTTCTTGCACGCGCTCACACACTAACTCACACACGCGAGCCCTTCTCGGATGCTGCAGAAGTAAAGTCGCGTCCGCTGTTTAATGGTTGCCAAGAGCAGATGACTGCATCCTTAATAATCTCCACAGCGCCTTCCGTCAACAGCCCGCTGGCCCGACCGTTATTGTCGGTATTCCGTGCAACAAGTAGGCTTGACCCGTGCTAGTCCTGTCTGCAGCCTGGTGGCCTTGTAGGCCTCTTGGTTCTGTCTGAACAACTCCTCCTCCTCTAAGACATTGTTCCTTTTCTTCTCCTTAAATTACAGCAGCGCTTTTTCCTCCTCTTCTCTTAGAAAGTCACACTGCGGGTTCCTTCAGTTTTCATCTCATCCTCCTCTGTGAGTCAGCAGCTGTCAGCCAAAGGGCCGTTTGGCAAGGCAGGAGCAGTCTGGGCCGGCACTTGGACACTACTGGCTGGTTGATACTGAGCTATGGTAAAGCCACTTTTTCTGTATAGAGAGAGAGAGAGAGAGAGAGAGAGAGAGAGAGAGAGAGAGAGTCTGAATTACTACGTCATCTTTACTACCGGGGAGGAGAGACAGACTTCAGAGCCTCTGTCAACCAATGGCAGACCCCCACCCAGCCCAGTCTGTTTACTTCTCTTTAATGTCAGTAGGCCTGCTAAGTAGACTTGTTGGCGCGCGCGCACACGCAAGCACCAACACAAGTGAGATGATTCCGTTCTCGTTTCTAGCATTTTAAGTTGTATGGTATGTAGCCTATACACATACGGCTGCCCGACTGTACCATAAGATGGTCAGTATTGTTCTTTTTTTGTGTATTTTAAAATTAATCAAACGAAAAATAAAGATAATATATTAAGCCTTTGTAATGCTTCAAAGTGTGTATCTGCAGAGGACGGGATACCAAGGTAGAGTTTGGAAATAACTGAATCTTGATCAGCAACTGATGAAAAAATAAATCTTAAAATACGTTTTTTAAATATCTAATTCCACATTTCTGGGGGGACCTGGTTTATGTTCTTTTTATGACTCCCATTTGGGCTTGTGTGTTCTCAGTTTGGCTTATCTTGGGGCCAGCAGAGCCAATGAAGGACTACTGAAGGTCCAGTTGACATGTCAAATAGTCCCACTGTCAAGGAGGCCATAGAGACAGACACTGGACATATGCAACGCACGTCACTCTTCTGTACTTAAATCAATACATTTATATAATTGCTAAAAAAACATCAGGGGAGTTTTAGTGTCATACATACACTCAGGTACAAAAGACAGATGTTATACTCCATCAGGAAAATACTGTAACAAAAGTTCAGTCACACAAATGTTTAATTTCAAATATCCATATCATATAAAAATGTTACAAATATTACAAGCTATTATCTTAATTTCTGTTGGCATGAAAATAAAAAAATCCCCAATTTTTTATTTTATCTAAATAATTTGTATACGACTTGTTCCTACTGTTCTCTAACCTATGCTAAGTTTGCAATTAAAATGAATACCATTATAATGTCTTAAAGCTCTAATTACAGTAACAGTAGATGTATACTTTCATTTAAAGTCAAAAGCTAAAATAAACAGGAATGTACACGAACATGGCTATAGTAGTGGGAACTGACCTTTGCAGCTCTTAGATAATGTATTGCCTTCCAAAGAAATAATCTATGAGAACATATTAAAGCTGGGATAGGTTCCACTGCAGATAAAAACAATCGGAGGAGACAGAAACCAAAATAACAGTAAATAATAGTTATTAATGTGTGGTTTCATGCGTCCATATACGACTCTTTCGGATTTATACCCTAGTATATAGCTTGCATTAAATGTTAATGTAATTGTGGAATAATAATAATAATAATAATAATAATAATAATAAATACATACATGCATACATAATCAGGTGTGTGATGTACTTGTTTTCTGGCCCAGAGAACACAGTCCACACAGTTATAACACGGTTTTAGCTTGAAGTTAATCAGAAAACCGAGTTAATGTAAATGAGAACCACAAAAATGTCACGACCCGGTTCCGAGCTGACACTGCGACTGACCTCCTGACCGCTTCCCTCGGATTCCGAGGTCTGCTCCGTCTCCGGACTTGTAATAGCTGTTTTGAACATATTTCAGAACCTGTAATCTTTTCCTCCTTGTTTTGACAGGATTTGTGATATAAACAGCCAATGCTACCCTTTACTTTCTCTATGTAAATGTATTAAACATATGAATAAATATATTCACACACAAATCGCAGTTCAATTCCTAAAGCTACTGATTGGCTACTAGTCCAGCTCAGAGAAAGAGAGAGAGAGAGAGAGAGAGAGAGAGAGAGAGAGAGAGAGAGAGAAATCTCTTACCAGATTCAACCCAGAGCTGCGGTTGTATTAAGTGGAAAATAAATAAATACCTACACATAGTCCTGCTTCCTTTCACCTTTTTATGTCATTACAATACAAATGTTGCCTTTGCTAACAGTCACAAGGGGAGCTATTAGAGTAACTTTGTCAATAAAAATGATGACCCTGTAATCTCAGCCTATTGTATTAACACTGTGTGCATTTTTATAATGGTAATTTATTCTAAATCAAAGGACTAAAATAGAAATAAGGATGGCTGGAAAACCTTGCTGGACCTCTAGGTGACCCTTTGGAACCCACTAAAAACCATTCAAGGATCTCAATGGAGAGGACCCCTGTAATTGGAAAATCCATATCTAAGTCAATGGAGTAATTTCATGCACTGCTTGCATTCATAGTAATTATCCAATATTATACTATTTTGTTATGGCTGTTGGTGTTGAGACAGTTGTTGTTATTTTTGCTGCTGTCAATGTGAATCTGATTCAAGGTCCTGAACTCAACTAGCATGCTTCCCACATTAGGAAAGTGTTAGCAGCCTGGATGGAGGAAGCTATGTGCTGTGATGGGGGTGGCTGGTCGAGAGGATGACTTACCATTCTGGTGTTGACCCCCACTTTTGGGCTTTAAACATTTCAGCAATAGACATTGCCCTGGAGAGGGCTTAGTTCTTACTTTCTAGCAAGTGGAAATGGAAAAAAAGATTTTGGCAAGCAGCCAAACGACTCACATTTTGTTTAGATTAATTGTTATTATGAAAATACTGATTAGTGCAGCTTTACATAGACATTTGTTTGATTTGCAGCAAAGCCAATACTGTAGTCTCAGTAGAAATACTACCAACTGTTCAAAGCAAATATATATGTTTGAAATATAATCAAAATGCCAGGTTGATGGGGAGGATTAGAGGCCTTTAGAATGTAAATTAAATGTTAAATAGAATTTGTTCAAATTAATTTAAAATATTGTTATTCATCCATATGGCTTCAAAGTCCAGTGTGTACGGTTTAGTAGCATCTTGTGGTGTAGTTGCTGATTGCAATGCCATCGTCTCAACCTTCTGTTCCAAGTGTGTAGGAGAGACTATGGTGGTCCTACATATCTACAGCCAGTGTTTTGTCTGTTCTGGGCAAGTGTAGAAACATGGCGGTTCAGCATGTCAGACTTTGTAGAAGAGGACTGTGAATAAACAAACTGCTCATTCTAAGCTAACAAAAACACAACAATTATTATATTCAGGTGATTGAACACTAATGAAAACATACCTATTATATTCCATTCCTGACAATACATCCTCCTAAATGTTATATACTGGACCTTTAATGTCTTTAATTTTAAGATTTTATAACAGATAAAAAAAACATAAAAATCTGTAAGACAGAGGACTATTAGTAGTAGTAGTATCAGTTTCTGTTGTGCTCCTGATCACACAATCTTTGGTGTATGGGCTCAACATGCTTTTGTGATTTATTTATTTATTTTGAATGAGTTTATTTTAACTTACAAATGACTGATATTTTATAATTTATAGTTAAAGGCTATGACTGGTTCAAAGTGCTAGCTGCAGCCTGACTGGTTCTAACTGTTTGCAGGCTCTAATTGGTTATAAATGATGGTTACAGATTATAAAAGGTTTGAGTGCTGTATTTTCTTCCTGAGTTGTGTGGGAGATCGACCTGAGGAGAGAATGGGGGTTGTAGATTGTGTGGAGGAATTCTCTGTGAGGAAGGCATATGATTTATATTTGTTTAAGTGTTGAATGGGGGGCTGCATTCTGCGTGTGCATGTGTGTGCGTATGTGTCGGCCTGCTCTGTGTAATCCATCTACGTGAATGGGAGCTGTTGCAGTAATTTAGATCGGTTTGTGTCTCCTGATAATGATACATAATTAGACTGTAGGTCAGTCGGTCAGACTCCTGATCTCCCCCTCTCTCTCTCTCTCTCTCTCTCTCTCTCTCTCTCTCTCTCTCACACACACACACACAAACCTCTCCATTTGCCCCCTCCTCTGATCTCAGCCATTCCTTCTCTGTATAAATAAACCTGACATAAACCTAGCAGGGCTATATGTTGTGTGTGTCTGTGTGCGAAAGAGAGAGACAGAGAGAAAGAGAGATGTGTGTGTGTGTGTGTGTGTGTGTGTGTGTGTGTGTGTGTGTGTGTGTGTGTGTCAGGGTATGTGATGACGTGCAGGTACATTCCAGAGCAGCGGAAGTTTCTTTTCAGAGTGAAGTGCTGTTGTTGCTGCCTGGACTCAATTACAACTATAGTGCAACTCTCCACAGTCATCATGTGCTGAATGCAGCTGACTATATGGGATGCAAACATCATTTCACTTTTTAATATAAACCAGTGAGAAGTAAATAAAAGAATAACAACCTGATGTTGATCATCATGGGACAAGCTACCACCACTGTAAAAACAAAATCTGATTAAACTTAAAAAGAATAGCATTCCTTTTCCCCTTGAAAATGCCACATCCTCATTTAGCCTATGGCTATTTATGCACAATGAGTGACAACAGTAGTTTAACTCAATTCTGCAAATAAACAAAACTGAACGTTTGAGTACCCATTCAGCACCTGAAATGTTTGTAACAAGCCACAATGTAATGTTGGTCAGAATAAACAACATGCTAGTGATTTTAATAAAAAGGTGTTTTACAATTAAAATGGCTTACTCCTTTTGAAGTATTAGCGTGCTTGGTACATTTCATTACAAACTGCCCTTTAGATTTTTAGATCTGTACAAAGTTTACCTTTTGCAATTCCTTTGGGAAGCCTATTAGGTGTTCCCGATATATCCTGATATGACTGCATCACAGTATTGATGTGTACAGGTGGAGATTTGGATATGGTGGTGGCGAAAGAAGAAAAGACAGGGGCCTAGCCAAATCAATCAAGAGTCATCCTCTGGGAACTAGGAATATCCATGCCATGTTGAGATATCTCTCTTGATCAAGGTGCTGCACAGATGGCCATCACAATAACGCCAATAATGTGGTAAAACAAAAACTGTATACAAACATCTTGGGCCTTGTCTTCTTTGCCATTGTTGTTCAAAAGTATCATTGTGTTATTCAAACATACTGTGATTCTTTGCTTTTGTCT